TTTCCTCGAGCAGTTTGAGCCACATATCAATCTCTTCTTCATTGCTCGTTCCCTGACCTTGCAGTTTTCTGTTGATCTCCTCTGTTTTGAGCTCTGATAACATTACACGTCTGGATATTACGTTGAGAATGTGTAACAGCCTGGAAGGAACAGCAGAGAAGCGTTTGGAGATCTTTGGCACGAGATCTTCCATGGGGATATCATCATGGAATCCAAGGTATGACACTGAGAGCCATTTGGTTATTACCAATTCGACAAACTCCGGCATCGATTGTTTGAACGCCAACATTGCAGCAATCATATCCCACAGAACCAGAGGCTTATTCAAATCGTTAAACTCTTTCAACGACCAGAGCAAATTAGTTTCCCAGTATGCCAACTCGTTATTGGAGAAACCCAAAATAGCTTCGGTTATCGTCTGTGAAGAATCTTCCGACTCACCGGATTGTTGTGCGCCATTCCAGAGGAATTCTACAGCAGCCTTCTGCGACCTGAAGAAAAGCAGGAACAAACGGGTCAAGTTTTGTAACGAGCAAGATAGAGAAGACAGAGAAACGTTCCTTAATGACAACTACCTGGCTTGGTACATCGGATTCAAGAGTTCAACATTAAAGCTGCGGACCTGCAATATTTCAAGAGGAGTCTCTTACTTTTCTAATTCTGAAAAACGTGTTAACTCACATCCACAGCAAAACCAAGTTGTTGGGAAGATCATACCAAAGCAACAGCCAGGTTTCCAGGGGACAATGCAACACCAAGACATGACAGGAAATCATCAGGAAGCTGCAGAAGGTTTAATCATTTTTTGTAAACATAAATCATACGAAAAGAGAAACAAAGTGGCAAGATTAAAGACATCACATAGTGACGTACATCGGTCGTGCTACTGAGACCAGGGGTGTTTGCAGGAATTGGCACTTCAGAGATGGTATTCTCACATAAAATCCAGTTTCGGACATAATTATCCTGACATATGTATAAAAAAAGTTAATGCCTAAAGAGAATATGAAAATAGATAACTAGATCAAAATTAATGTAGCTCATTGCTCAGTTTGTGGCTCAAAAGACAACCAATACAAAAGTTGGTCTTACTCAAAAGGAAATATAATACCTGGCTGCAACTGTACAAACAACGGCCATCATATGACCAAGCTAAGCCCGTAACCTAAAAAAAGTTGACATATTTATCAATAAATCAAAATACCTTATTGCATTGTATGTATAACACAATGAGCCATAGGTGAAGCGATTACCACTTGGTCATGAGCCATAGGTGCAGAAATTTGTTCAAATTTTTTGGTAGATATGTCACACTTCCATACTTCAAAGGAACCAGATCCTTTGCCGATTGCTAAGTGCATGACATTAGAATGAGTGTTTACAACAAATGAAAGCATTGAAACCGGAACAGGATTCACCGTTACAACCTACATAAATGAGCCAGAAAATGTCAGAACACGAAACACTTGATGTTCGCTTGATGAAAACAGCCCTACACACTTGAATAAATGAATAAACTGTAACTTAACGAAAAAGGGACACAACCTGATAGTTCTACAAACAAGGAAATAGACAAAATTTCGAGAAAGTTAAAACTTTTAAAAGCACAGGGATCTACAGCAACAAAATGAAATATGAATCCAACTTTAGTTACAGAAAAACTACAAATAGGACAACAATCAAAATCCAAGATGGTTCCATTAACTCAGAAATCACGAAAAGCTATACCCAATTCGAATATCAGACAAAGTTAGAACACATAGAGAGGAGACAAATGGTTTTTTACCTGTTTCATCAGAGAAAATGAAGATTTATAGATCTCAACAGAGTTTTGCAAGTCTTCTTTGTTGCTCATCCAAATTTTTACACTGCAAAAGTGTAGAAAGAAATGAACGGAAATTGTTATAAAGTGGGATTCCATTGGGAGCATATGCAAATGAATGGACATTAATATGGCTTATTTCCAAGAGTGAGGGTTTCAAACAGTTTCTAACACTTAACTAATCACTGAAGACATTTGTTATTATTATCATATTTTCTTGTAATATAGCACCAACTTACCTACCATCAGAACTCCCAGTAACCAACACCACTTGCGGATTTGAAGAATCGCAGCCAAAAATTCCCCAACTCATCGTTGAAACCCATGAGCTATGAGCTTGAATGATAGCAGTGAGTTCCACGACGGGTGATACATTGCTACGTTCAATGTGATAACATTCTGGTGCATGAACTTTCCATATTGAAACACTACCGGACTTTGAGCCAATTGCCAAAAGAGAGAATCTTGACATATTCTCACAGGAAGAACCTTCTGATGAGAATGTTAGTAGAGAGGACCAGGCGACGGAAAGAGAGGATAGTAATGCCTCACGAGAAACGTACTTGTCTGGACTTATCTCTCGACTGAAATTTTTTGGAACTTTAGGCAAAGAGTGAAAATGGTGGGCATTGCTTGGCTGTTCATATACTTCACTCTCAAGTACCTGGGAACATAATGAATCAAATAAGATACGATTACAATGCGACGATTTGAACTAGATGACAGTTGAGAGTGTAAGAATTTTTAAGAACCATGTGGTGTGAACAATGCATATAAAGGATCCAGATGGAATTCAAAAGCATGAAAAGAGTCGAAATCCATCAAATCAATAGTGAAACAATATAGATCCACACACATGTTATATTGAAAAAGAATACTGGAGGGAGTTTCAAATTATAATCAAGATATTAATTTATCTGATGAAATGACCTTGATTCATATTAGTACTATCTCTAGCACCAAAAGAGTTTCCATAAAAGCAAAGGATAATTTTTAATGTTCAGGAAAAGAGTTACTTCAGAAAATACCAAAGAAAGCGTTACCAAAAGAGCGTAATAGAAATAAGTTGGAGAAATCAAGATTGAGATTTTCCCAAAGCAACAAACACAGAAAAGAAGCTAGTAAATAGAAATGAGGCAGTACCTTAGGCACCGTTTGACTGTCTTGCTTGGAACATGATGCCCGATCTGTAACACTCGTTTCATGCAAATTGCTAGATGTAGTCACAGATGATAGTAAGTTAGTGAAGAGATCAAAGCAGAAAACAGATAAATGTAAAATTACTTCTCAAACCAAAGTAGGTTGCATCTGAGAGAGTGAAAAGAAAAGAAAAATGCTACTTACATCTTGTCTGCGCTAGTTCTTCTTCGTTTGCGTGACTTCAGAATTGAATTCCTTTCATCCTCTTCATGGTCATGTTGTACAACTTGATCCTATGATAAAAGAACAGAGATTATTGCAATGATACAAGGGATTTCATGTTTACCATAAAAAAAGGCTATGCATGACCAGTTAATAATGATAAAAATCGAGATATATAATAACAACGGCATCAAATAACTGATCATGCATAACATTTCGATCCAATAGCTGTTTTCCATCAAGAAAGGATAACAATTTTTGTTTTCGTTAAGATGAGTCCTCTACATGTAAAGGTGAGGGTACGAATTACAGACCATCTACACATCCCTTACGGAATCACAGACACAAGTTTGGGCAAGAAGTAAACTGTACTTCATGGTAACAAGATTTTGACTTGCAAGTTAAGAGACGCGAGTTACCTTAGATAATGACGTAGAAGGACTGTTGGATTCTCCAAAGTTTATGCTTGACAGATTCTCATAAAGCATATCAGATACATCAACAATCTGCGAAAGAGAGAAAGGAAATATAAAGCACAAGTTAGTTGTAAAAGTCAAAAGAAAAGTTATGATCTAAATCTACCTCTATCCACTCTGCACAAAAATCAGAATATGGAGGTCGATATAGCTTAACCCTTCCCTCCGCTGTGCAAACAGCCAGTAAACACCTGAACAGAGTTTTATGAACCACGAAATTTGGAAAAAGAAAACAAAAATACTAAAACAAAATGATCAAATTGGCATAAACTATTAATTTATCATAATACCCGTAATTCTGAGACATTCCTAAGTCCGACCATGAGAGAGATCGAACACAGGGGTGTCTTTCCCGCTTCAAACTCGAAGGCAAGAGTCCACCAGTAAGCAAATCTGCAAACACATCTTCACTTAAAGAAACGCATTTCGATAGTATATTGTAATCCGAAAAACAAACAAAGAAGCAGATGATCTGCAAAACACAGATTTATAAAGAAGAGTCTTCCTGAACACTGTAACAGTGGCAAAATGTTTTGAGAAAAATAAAACCAGAATTTTGAATTTTTGATCTGAATTTTCATAAACAGTACACCAAAATTCTGTAAGATTGGCGTCAAAGATTCTAACTTTCAAAATTCGATCTGAATTTAGGCAAAAACAAAAATCGAGTTTCGGTTATTTCACAATGATCAGTGTAAAAGAAAATCAAACCTTGTGAGCGAACAAGGCCAATCTGATAAGGCTCGGCGTTAGGGATCGTGATCAATCCACGAGGTCCAGTAGGCAATGCCGGATTCTGACAATTATTAAAAACAATTCGTCAATACATTTTCAGAGACTCAAAATTCAACCTCGAAACAAAGCAGAAAACTCACAAGGATGATGACGAGGTGGCCAGCGGCGACGGCGATCAGATTTTCCGATGACCAAGCGACGGCGTTGGGATACGATGGAGATGTAACCAGTGAAGCTTCCTGGAACCGCGACGCCATCTTTTTTTTTCTTCCGTTCGCCGTTGAGCGACGGAAAGGAAAAGCGACTTCACGAAATCAGCTATCAATCAGATTCCTGACGAATCTCGTCCAGATCCGTTGGAAAGTCAACTGAATTTTGGAGGGAAAAAAACTTGCTTTGCTTCGACAACGAAACTGACGAATGTTGATTCAGTACGGAAACCCTAGTTCGAATCGCAGTGACGCAGAAGAGATCCGAAATATTTTTTTCTTTATTTATTTTCTTCCCACATTTAATAAGAGTCAACGTGCGCGTGAGTCGTTAGCTATGGGCTTAAGCCCAAATAAATATAACCCAAATAAAAATATATATTTTTAACCATTTAGGATCTTTTTAAGCCACGAGAGAATATAAGAAAACTCCATTTCGAACGCAGTGACGCCAATCGATCTTCGTAACTATTTTGTGTTTTATTTAAACGACATCGTAACTTTGCGGATAGGCCCAAATATGTAAAAACTTCAAAGTGAAGGGTTTTGAAGCCACGAGAAATATTCGCCGTCGCCGATGTCGAGAAACAGAAGAGCTTGAAGCAATCTTCCTCTACTCCTATTTTTCGGTGAGTCCGAATTTCAAAATTAGAAACGTTTTTCTTTCAGCAGTCATCTTCACATTTTCCGAGCCGGAAAAGGCAACCCAATGAAAAACTTATAAGAGAAATCAATTGGAATATATGTATAACTCTTAGAATCTCCCACCAATCGTGTTGCAATGGCCAGAAACGCATCGGATTATGTGCTTATTTCTTGTAATTTTACAGCAAAGAGAAACTGGGGAAAGAAACAATGGGAATCATAAAACAGGGAACAATCTCAGGTACCTTGCCAAGCAAGGAGGCGTTTGCAGTTCACTTCACTGGATACCCATCATCTATTTCCCGAGCCATCGAGACTCTCGGTAATAATCCAAGGAATCACAGAAGTAATTCTCTTAATTTCCCCTTTAAAAAAAGACTCCATTTTGGGACACAAAAAATTTCGGATTTAGATACATTTCTTATATGATTCGTCCCCATTTGATATGTTGATGTTGATTAGTGACAAGCATTTGCTTAAGTATTGGACGATTTATTCATTTTTGAATCCTTTTTTTTGGTAGGCAAGAGGATCGATTTCAAACAAGCTTGAATTGCGTTTCCGGCCTGAAGATCCTTATGCACATCCTGCATTGGGAGAACAACGTCCTTGCAATGGTTTTTTGTTGAAAATTTCTAAGCAGGATATCAAGAAACCTGAGAGTGAGCCTGCAGTTCTTGCCACTAGTGATGAATCTTTGGAGGAAGCTAGTCAAGCTCTATGCGCAGATATCGTAGCTCGTGTGTCTGAATCAGTTCATTTCGATGGTAAGAGCGTAGCTTTCCTCTTGCGCATCTGAATTTTGTTGTCTTCTACATGAGAATCGACTTGGTATCTCACGTTTATTCTCCTCTAGGCATGGCTGATTATCAGCATGTTATTCCTATTCACGCGGATATTGCGTAGCAGAAGAAGAGGAAGTGGTTGGAGGTGGATTCCCTTGCATGTGATTCACTTGCATTTGTGTTCTGTTTTGTCATTTGTATTGCAAATTGGTGTGATCACCTAAAAATTATATATGATGTGTTGTAGGAAACAGTGATTTGATGAACCTGGCTGATGAAGATGTAATGATGCTATTGCCACAGTTCTTTTCACCCAAAGATATACCAGACAACGTGGCGTAAGATCGCACTGCCTTTTTTCTATTTCTTTCAATGTTTTCTTTTCTTATTCGGTGGCATGAGCCGTTCACTTTGTTTTGATTCTTGATTAAAATGTGAAGTAACAACAGTTACAGTACCGATTTCAATTTTCTTGTGTGATTACAGATTGAAACCTCCAGCAACATCTGGTCCCAAAAAGAAAGATGATGCGGCAACTCAGAACTTCTACGAGGTAAGATTAGGAAATGGAAACATCCGAGTTTTCTAAATAATCTAAACGAAATGCATTTAGTCTTAGTCTTCATCGATTGGACAAAGCCACTATTGTGTAGCTGTAACTAATTGTCTGGTGGAAAGACTTAATTTACTGTGATGGTGAAGCTTTAGGACTTCTCAATGGTATGACCACAGTCTAGAAACATCATTGAAAGAGAAATTGCTGTAAGAAACTGAGAAAAACGCAGCCAGAGAGATGATACCATTATTGGGCTGGAGGAACACAGTTATTTGAGAAATCAAGGTTCTCAAAGATGTTGAATCTGAGCTTGCATCAGTGAAGGCTTCTGACTAGGACATGTCCGCCAAAGTGATGCGTCTGGAGGCACATCAAAAGGTTGTGGCATTGTGCACTAAAATATCAACTACTTATAAGAGTAGTTGAGGTGTTGCTGCATTGGAACCTCTTCGTGGAGTTTATAAGTAGTTGATATATTAGTGTGCAACTCCACAACTCAACATCTGAGCTTGCAGCAGTGAAGGATTATCTTTGAGAATACTTGATTTCTCAAACAACTGTTTCTCAGTTTCTTGCAACATTGTCTCTTTCAATGAAATTATAATGTTTCTAGACGAAATTTGGCCCAACTAAATGTGGTCAAACCTGATTTTGGTTTTTCAGGTGGATTATACTTGAGGCTTGGCATAATAGTTGTTAACTTCGAAAATGTTATATATATACATCCTGCAAATGCAATTGTAAAAACTTTCTGTTTCACTCTTATGAATTGTCAAGAACACAGACGTTGTTCTGTTCAGTTCTGGATTTCAAAGTTGCTATGACAGCTTACTTATAGTTTTATCTTCGGTTTACTTCTCCATCTGCTAAATGATCTTCCTCATCTTTTTTTTTGATGCAGATCGATATTGGCCCAATATTTGCAATTGATTTCAGCGTCAAAGATATCCTTTATTTTATTTTAAACTAGTTCTTCCAATTCGTATTTATCGGTTTATCCTTTTTCCTCATAGAAAGAGCCGTGTTCATTTGGTCTGTCCTTAGCTATCATACAGATCCCCAAGAAACTAAACTGGGAAGACTTTGTTGGTCCCAGCTCCCACCACTGGAAATGGCAGGTATCAGTGTCTGCATTGTTTGAAGAGCGGCCTATTTGGACAAGAGACTCTGTTGTACAGCAATTAAGGTCTTAAATGTACACATCATATGTTAAACAGGTGAGATAGTTTTTTAATATATGTTTCTTATATTGAGCTTTTTATAGTACTACTCTGATCAACTTGGTGTGTTCTCTGTAGGTATCTACTCAGGGCCGCTTACTATTTTTCCAGTGGTCCGTTTCTTAGGTTCTGGATTAGAAGAGGCTATGATCCACAGAATGATCCGAAGTCTCGCGTGTAAGTTCTACCTTAAGACATTTGTTAGGTGAAATGGTGATAACACAGATGGGTGCGTAACGATTGTATGATTGTGATTCAGATATCAGAGAATGGAGTTTAGGGTTCCACCTGAGTTACAGAGTTATTGCGATGCCAATGCAACTAACAAGTAAGTCTTTTTCTCTTTCTGTTGTGAACTCTTCCTACATAAATGACATATCCTGGAGATCCAAGCATGAATACTCTTCATAGCATTCTAAGATAATTGTTGTAGGCTTGTCTCACAGATTTAGTATGATTTGTTGAGAACTTTGCAACTGAACCATTTGATGTATGCAGGAAAGAGTTTGATCACTTTTTTTTTGCTACAGCTCAAAGCCAAGCTGGAACGACATTTGTGCTTTTAAGTTATTTCCTTTTAAATGTCAAACATTTCTGCAGTTGTTTGAACTTGACGACGAGTACATCTAGCGAGAGATACGAAAGCCTCCCAAGCAGACTACTTGTAACGTGAGTTCTCAGCTTAGCATTTGTTCATAGAGTCAATACCCATGAATACGCATCTGCACAAATAGATAAACCTTCGGCAAGTCCCGAAATATTATGATCCGATTCCTGTTTCTGTTTGCAACATAAAACAGGGTGGTTCTCCGAAGCCATGCTTGATACTTTGAGACTCCGTGTAGCTGTGAGGTTTGTGTCTGTGTTTCCTGAGCCAGGTTTCGAAGATGTATTTAAATCCATTCAAGAAGAGTTTGAGAGGTCAGAGAAAATACAAATCCAGAAAGACACACTTAAACCATCTCTAGTGAAGCACCGGGAGCCAACTAAAGGTAAGATCATCGAATAAAATTGTGGGTTTCATTATGTTTCAGAAAGTTTAGTGAGTGTTTTGGGATGTGCATTCAGTGTATTACCTTCTCTGTTAGATCCTCATGCCTTTGGTGTTTGTAGAAAGCATTTTTTTTGGAGTTCATCAAAACTTTTATATAAATTCTGTGGCCTCAGAAACTTAGCAAAACTGACCGGAAAGAAATGACTGGTCATACTGCTCTACGAGTATGTACATAAATATATTTTATAGAAATGTGTGCAAAACTTGAAATGATGTAAAAATCATTTGGATACATATTACGTGTTATGCTTTTGTCGTTAGTCATTGAACATGTTTTTCCTTGAAGACTCTGAAGAAACAGCTGCTCAATCGTAGTTCAATCTGCAGACTCTGAAGAAGTGCAAAAATCTAAACATGCAAACGAAGAAGATGTTGATGTTAATGTTAATGAGTATGGAGATGATGAAGACCTGGATGAAGAAGAGGAAGAAGAAGAAGAACTCGATATAGTAATATATATTGTGAAGAGAATTTCTGTTGTTTTCCTTATTCGCGAGGATTCACCTTGTCTCTGCTCTTTTTTGCAGGCTGCAGGAGACGATGATTGATGCAATATCAAAATCAGTAAATCAAAGCTTTGAATATATGGATTATTATCAGAATCTCAAGTTCATAATTTCACAAAGTCAAAGGATTTATATTTAATGTCCAAGGCAAAATTGGTGGCAAAAAGACCATTATTTGATTTAATTGATTTTTGTCCTTTTGTTTAAATGTAAATAATTTTTATTTATTGTAAAGATCTCTTGTAAGAGCTATAAAAGCTCATGTATTATCATTTCTAAAATACAATTGAAATTTTGGAAATATAAAAGAGTTTTATCTAAAAGCTTTATGCTTGTTTTGTTTATCTAAGTTAGATGGATTTATAAACTTAGTAAACAGTTGAATCTATGTCTCTTGTGTGTGATTCCTTGAGACTAGATTTTGTGTTTTATCATGAGACTTCCACATCTTGTGTGGTACACTTCGATCCATCAGTTCTCATGTCCATTCATCAGTTTATCGGTCCAATTGCCTGAGTTCCTCAGCCATTGAATCACCTTCACATTCATCTCCATATCTATCAATCCGCTGCTTGAAGATCTGTTCATCAGAAATATAAGCCTTGAAGTCGAGTTTCTCCTTTGGTGCTTGTATCAATGATATATCTCTTGATTCCCATGGATGTATCCTAAAAGTTTACCTTTTTTGTTGAGTTTTGGGAATTAAAACTCAGAGTTTAAACTTCTGTTTTTGGTTCTAACATCCCTTTTGACTCACTGTATCTTTAGATTTTCCTATACGATTAAAAGATCTTGATACTGAGAACAGCTCCAGAACGTATCTTCAAGGTTTGTTCGACAGTTTTCCAGCGAGTGAACCTGATTTGTATGGAGACTTTGCTGTTGATGATGGGAGTGATGGAGAGTTTCAGATATACGGAGATGAAGAAGAATCTGAGGGTTTGTATTCTATTGATGATAATGATGACGAAGAAAAAGAAGAAGATGATGATGACTGAAGATCAATCCACACCACTGGTACTCTTTCTTCTCTTTATCCATATAACCTTTGATCAAATTGACGAATTTCCCATAAATGCAAGAAATATCTTGTTTACAGTGGTATGAAGTTGAAAAACGCAATCTGGAATTTCACATTGTTGACTTACTACTCATCTTGAGCAATTTTGGTTTGTTCATTTTATCTCGTGATTTTCACATAGTTTTGTTGTTGTTGTTTCTCTTGAGATGTTTCAGGTGAAATGAGGTTTTGTTCTAATGAACCTTCTTCATCCAGAAATGATTTCACCAGGCTTGAGTACCATACATAGTTTATACAAGTCAATTGCTCAAAACTAGCAAACATAAATTAGTTTAAGGTTTTTAGAAATCAATTTTGAAATCTAATTACAGAAAATTTATAGTTTTTTTTTTTCACAAGCAACACATTGTAACCACTACACAATAAATAGTTTTGAAAGGCACTTAGTTCTTCAATGTTGCCTGGTGTTATATAACTTAGAGGTTCTGTTGGTAAACAGATTGCTTAAAGAGGGACCGAAAAATAAAAACAAAAGACTCGTCTCGAAAGAATCACATAAGGGTAATTCCGGTAATTTACAGAAGCCCAAGGACTACCCCTAAAGGATAAAGAACAAACCCTAGTTAAACTTTCACGGCCGACTTCTCTATTATTAATCTTCTGTTCCGAGTTTCGTTCTCCTTTAGCTTAGTCAGTCCCAAATCTTCTCCGGTGCTGCAGCTAATCCCTGGTACGAAGTCATTGACCTCTCTCTCTCTCTCTCTCTCTCTCTCTCTCTCTCTCTCTCTCTCTCTCTTTCTCTCTTTCTCTTTCCCTCTCTCTGTCTCTCTCGCCTTCTATATTTCTCCGTTTGTTCTCTGGAATTTTGTTTCCGTGTACTATGTTGTAGCGTTAGGGCTTTTCTCTGAATTGGATGTTGTCCTTCGTATACAATCTGGGCTTGGTCTTGGGGTGGCTTTCTTGACTCTTAACTTGTTTTTCAGCTCTGTGGAATGTTCTTTCTGGCTCGTTTAGTGTGATTCGTCCAATTGAGGGAGACTCTTAATTATGAAATTTTGGTCTTTCTTTGTCGCTCTTTCTTTCAATCGTAATTGTTAGAAGTTAGAATGGTTTCTGAATTGTTTTTGGTTGCGAGAGTGTTCTTCGTAACTCGTGATGAACTATGGCATTTCTTTCTCCTGGATAGTTTTAATTGATTGACCTTAGTGAGTGAAGAGTTTTACTTGCATTGTAAAGAACATTATTCGAATTGTCTGCTATCTGCATACTGTAATTCTTGGTATGTGTCGGTAGATCACTTTGTATTTAGAAAAAAAGTTGGTAATATGTTTGAATGGAGTCATGATTTGAGTACGGAAGCTGAACAAGGTAGATGCATGAGTGTATGTTACATGATGTCATGACACATGCTTTCTTTATGATAGATGGCAAGCGCTTGGAACATGAGCATTGCAATGGTTCATAGGGATATAGAGAGGGAATGGGAGATCTCTGTGGAGTTGTTTCATATTGTTTTTATTTGTTTATTGGAGATTCTTGCTCACTTTGGGACGAGTTAGACCTCTCCAATGAATCATGGGAAGATCTGGAGAGAGAGAGAAAAAAACATATTTCAAAATTTATAATAGCTTTTGGAGCACATTGGAGCAAATATGCATTGGAAGCTTGTGGAGCACTGCTCTTACCGAGGATTGCTCTCACTTGGTTTGCTTCATATATATATTTTGGTCTTACCATGTTCTTATCATCATCACTTCTCTATGCTGATGCTAAATGGAACGCTGTCTGTATGGAGATTCTTTGTCTATGGCAGCCTCAGCAGTAAACTTTGGTCCTTTATTCATTTGTTTCCTTTTATTCGTACCTGCAGTTACCTCTTTGCTTTGTTTTAACAACCTTTGCAAACAATGAGTGGTCGGTTTTCTCGGTCAATCTATGTTGGTAACTTGCCTGGCGACATTAGAGAACATGAGATTGAAGATCTCTTTTACAAGGTCAGTTCTGACTACACCTTTTTTTTATTCCATTGATTTTGCATGACATACGAAGCTAATTTTTGGAACGGATTATCTCATTTGTGTCGTTATCTTCATTGCAGTATGGCCGCATAGTGGATATTGAGTTGAAGGTTCCACCTCGTCCTCCATGTTATTGCTTTGTTGAGGTTCGCTTTTTTTACTTATGTTACATTGTCTAAACCAAACTTACAAGATATAGTTTCAGTTAACCAAGCTTTGTGTTGAATGTTTGTAGTTTGAGCATGCTCGGGATGCCGAAGATGCGATCAGGGGCCGTGATGGCTATAACTTTGATGGCTGTCGTTTAAGGGTAATCAAATATTCATTACTTCCTTACTATTTGGCTTCAGACAGGATTGGTTTATACTTCACATGCCCTGAACAGCAGATTTCAAACTTTTCTGGCTGCTTTGACATTACCTTTTGATGTTTACATTTTGTTTTCCTCATGGTTTTTCTGATTATGCAGGTTGAGCTTGCCCATGGTGGTCGAGGACAGTCTTCAGGTGATCGTCGTGGTGGCTACGGTGGTGGAGGTGGCTATGGTGGTGGAGGTGGCGGCGGTGGTGGTGGTGGGTCTGCTCGGTTTGGCGTCTCACGACACTCTGAATTCCGAGGTTTGTATAATTTGCTATAAGAAGTTGATAAAGTTTGGCCAACTCTTCACCTCCTCTTAATGTTTCTTTGTATTCTTAAATGGTTTTCTGCAGTCATTGTACGTGGGCTCCCATCATCTGCTTCATGGCAAGATTTGAAGGTATGATGATACTTCATGTTTTGCTGCTATATCGTGGTGACTATAATGGTGTCTACTTTCTAGTTCTGTTTTTTCATATCTTAACCATTATTTCAGGATCATATGCGGAAAGCCGGTGATGTTTGCTTTGCTGAGGTCACTCGAGACAGTGATGGTGCGTTAGTTTACACTTTGTTATGCACAATTAAAATTATTTATTGCGCATACTTTCTTAGCAGATATCTTGCTTGTTCCAGCTTTGAGCAGCGTTTGTGTTTATGATATTGATAGTTATGTATTTTTCTTACACATGACTTTTCTTTTATACAGGAACTTATGGTGTTGTTGACTACACCAATTATGATGACATGAAGTATGCTGTAAGTTGACTCTTCTTCCCTCTTGCTGTATATCAACTTATGAATTGTATAGTTTCCGATGTTAAAAAAAAATCTGATTTCAGATAAGGAAACTTGATGATACAGAGTTCAGAAACCCTTGGGCTAGAGGTTATATCCGGGTATGACTTCTCCTCCTCGCAGTCTTTGTTGTCTTCCTCTTTTATCTCCTCGATACATTATTTCACTAGTTAACATTCATGTTATTATGTATTGTGTTGTGCAGGTTAAGAAATATGAAAGCTCGCTGTCGAGAAGCCCAAGCAGAAGCCGTAGCAGAAGCCGAAGCCGAGGCCGTGGTCGCAGCCGTAGCCGCAGCCGCAGCCTTAGCAGAAGCAAGAGTCCAAGGAATGACCTGAGGTACTGAGTTTCTTCTCACTGATCAATCTTTTTATATCTCCCATATTTTTACAACTAAAAAATGATTTTATTGAGTTTTATCAATCTGAATTACAGTAAATCACCAAGACGATCCCTTTCCAGATCCATATCAAAATCAAGATCACCTTCGCCCGACAGGAAGAAGAGTCCCCCCAGGCAAGTTGTCCTCCCTTCTATTGTGTTGTTTCCCTTATCTCTTTCATTTTTTTCCTGTAGTAAAACTGTGATTTGGTTTTGCAATTTAGGGCAATGTCGAGATCAAGGTCCAGGTCTCTGTCAAAATCACCTGCCAAGGTATATAAAAAAGTAACTTGCATAGTTTTCAAAGTTATATACATGAAGCTAAGAATTGTAGGCAAAAGAGACCACCAAACTGAAACATGTTGAAAATTGTCTCTTTCTCAGGTTCGGGAAGGCAGTGAGTGAGAGTGCGAAAATTCTCAAGCCAAAGATTGTGATCATCATATCCAAGCAATCGAAAACTTCAGACTTCTAATATTGTGTCATGCATTTTGTTCTCTAAACTAGTTTAATTTGTGCTACTTTGAGTTTTTTTTTAAAACATGTCGTTCTACTTTGTTCTTTGAAATCATTCTTTTTCGAGTCAAACTTATCTCGTTTTCATTATTATTCTTGAATCTCTCTCCACAGCTAAATCTTTTCTTTTACAATAAATAAGAAATCAATAGCTACTATGGGAAATTGGCTTGCAAAGAATAGCCGAGTTTCTATCTGAAACAGCTGATCTGTCAGTTTACATCTTCAAAAGTAATGAATGATGATAATTTCTTCTGTCTTTTAAAAGTAATGAAGACGCATTCACTGGTCACAATCCTCTGTCTTTGGCAAATGTTACGGAGCTCGAGTCACATTCCTCTATCCAAAACCACCTCTCAAGGAATATTCGTAAAGGGCTCGGAAGCCTCTCATTTTTGGCGTACATAAGTGTGGCTCACAAGGAACACAAATCACTGGGCAACCTATATCCTCACTTGAAGGGAATGCACATCTTTGTGGTTTTCCTCTTGAGGAAAGTTGCTTCGGGACTAAAGCACCATCAATGCAACTACCAGAGCAGAAAAAAGAAGAACAAGTGTTGAACTGGAAAGCAGTGGCAATAGGGTATGGGCCTGAAGTGTTTTTTTTGGATTGTTAATAGGTCAAGTCATCGCTGGTCAAGATAACTGGTGTCTGTATAAGGGCAGAAACTGTTAGGATTGTCTTAGATTTTGCGTTTGATCTTTGAATGCATGTCAAGTCGTTGTAAGGAAGCAATTCCTTGGGGTTGCCATCTTTGTCCAAAGCTTTGTTCTGTTTCCTCTTCCTTCCACAATGTAAGAAAGCTGGATTTTCTGTAGTCATATTAATAGACGTCTCTACTTCTCAAAGATCAAACCGAAGGAGAAATATTCAGTTTGCCATAACAGATGCAACAATGGTTTTCGTGTGTGATTAAACAGAGAAGCAGAGGAAATATATAGAAGCAATTATCGATGATTTAGACCACAGAAGTATGTGTGAAAACAATGAAAACTTTCTCTAAGTATTGACTTTTTGTGTCTCAATGTACAAGCTGAAGAAGAAATGTACAGATCAAAATCCACTTTTCATTGATACGCATAAACAGAAGAGGAAGAAAAACTTGATTGTAAAAAACATTCCCTCACTATTAGCTTTTGAGTATTAAAATATGAAGTGGTGACTACACTAAACTTCCAATTTAGCAAGAAGAATTATAAAACCACCGTCGTTGTTGTCAAAGTCACAAAGGGAAACTCTAATTCCTTGGGGTTGTCATCTTTGTGTTGTTTGATCTCTGATGCTCTCGCTCCAATGCTGGAAGAGTTCTGATGCGGAATTGCAGATTCTGCGATCTTTGTGCCTTGTGAGATGGGCAAGCCTATCCATGATCCGTCTCGTTCCAGGATCCGTTGCACTGATGGGGAAGCCGATGAGCAGAGAGAGAGATTCCACGCATATCGATGTCTCTTCTTTAGCGGCGAGGAGTCCCTTTGCGTTGGCGACATCAGCTGATTTTTTGGCTATGTCGAAGAGCTCCAAAGTCTCCGTCGTGTTCTTCTCCAAATATTTAGGGTTTCCAGAGACTTTAAGAGGCGGCGGCTTCTTCTTCGTCTGCAAAGGCCTTGATGTCGAAACGGACTCGCAAACGCCAGACGGCTTCTTCGTGTTTTTCTGAATCCCTTTCGATTTAGGGTTTTGAGAAAGTTTCTTCGGAAGATCGGGTTGCTTCTTCGCAACGACTGGCCTCGACTCGCAACCATCATTAGTCTTCTTTATCATCTTCATGTGTGTTCTTTCCGTTACTGATTTTCGTTCGTAGAGAATGAATTATTTGGAAAGAGGCAACTGTAACTAAGGGTTTCAATCTCAAGTTTTGGAAATCAGAGAATGGAAAGAGAGAGAGAGAGAGAGAGAGAGAGAGAGAGATAGTGAATCGCAGATATTATATAGACCCGTAGAGAGTTAAAACAAAAAAAAAGGAAATTATAAGGAGCTTCTTCCTTCGATCCCAAGTTTTTCACTCCGAACAATATTTCTTTTTTTCTTCGCCGGAGGGTAAATGCGTCATATCAATAACAATTTAGTATATGGGGTGATGTTGTTTTTTTAAATACTTTCGGGGACAATTTAGTATTTATTAGAAATACATGTGTATCATCCGAAAACATTATTACAACCTTGCTTTTGCTTTTTGTTGTGACATTTGGTCTTCTTCCATGGATTGACGACATTTGATACAGGAAAAAAGGTAAATTATGTGGACTTTGATGAGCTTTTACTTTAATGGCAATTTATTCGCTTCAATGGCGGATACTGCCACAGATTTTCTCTTTCCTTGAACCTTTCAATGTCAGCTACGACCACAGGGCTCTAATCGTCGCCAGTAAACGGCGCATGCTCATCTCCGCTGGAGTTCACTACCCTCGTGCCACTCCTGAAGTAAGTATAGCTTTCACCGACCTTTCTGTTTTCAGTGATTTTGACAGTTTCTTGATTGTTGTGCTGAAATGCTCTTTCTTCACTTCAGTGATTGATTGCTACCGATTTTAAATGGGATCTTTTTATAATCTTGAAACTGGTTTCAGACGTGGTGGTGCTGATGTGATTCAAACTTATGTGTTGTGGAAAAGGGTCAGGTTTGGCCCCAGATTTCTCCTGATTCTGTGCTATCTCTCTCTCTCTGGGAATTCTGATGTTTCTTTTTCTATGGCTTTGTTCAGTATAACTTTGAAGGAAGGTACGACCTTGTGAAGCTTGTTGGATCAAGTGGTCTCTATCATAGGTCCTTACGTGGAACTTTGGGGGTATTGTCTTCTCACAGCCATTGGTGTCTTCTTGATTGTTTCATCTTCATCTCTCTCTATTCTTCTGCCTTCAACTCTTGTTAATGAACCTTTTAAGGTACATTTTTGATTCGAATGGCTCATTTCCACATTTTCCTTTTACTATTTTACCTTTTTAGGTTCTGTTTTAGCTTTGTTGTCTTCTTATATAATCACATCTTTCTGATGCAGAAGTTTGTAAAGAAGATTGTGACTGAGAGAAGTTTCACCAGGCTGATGCCTATGATAAACATTCGATGCTTTCGGTCTGTTCGTGCTTGCATATATTGATGAACGGTTGCAGTGTTTTGGTGGAAAAAACAAACTTTGGTCGAACTTCTGGTGGTCCTTTCTATGTTACAAGCTACGATTATGATGCTCCTCTTGATGAATATGGTGTGGGTGCATGATAAGGAACCAACCACTTTATTGATATGAACAAGTGATTACACGCCCAAGCTTATGAGCTTGAAGGCAAACCCTATCTCAATCTTTGAATAATTCTCAGAATCGAGCCTTTCTCTCTCTATCTTTCTGAATGAATCCGTAAAACAGAGCATGGTTTAGTTTTTATATTACAAATTCGTTGTACTAAACAAACCGAAATAAAACCAACATTTAAAACCGGTTAAGCACTTGAATTGATCGGGTCATTCCTTTTCGGCTTCTTCTTCTTCAAGACGTAGACATATCAATACTCCAATGTGCAGACTGAGCTTGTCCTCAAGCGAAAAAGACGGAAACTGGTGTTTTAGCTCGCCCACTCGTACCCACGACTTCTCATGCGCTGGTAAACCTTGCCACTTAATCAACAGCTCCAAATGGCCCTGATCATCATAACGTGTGTCCATAATGCTTTCGGGTTCAATTATCAACTCATCATCCACTGAAACCGAAGGAGGTAATGGTAACACTGTGTGACCTTCACCAATCACAGGTTTAAGCTGTGAAACATGGAATACCGGATGGATTTTGGACGACTCCGGTAGACGTAGCTTATAAGCTACTTTCTCCACACGTTCGAGTACCTCATATAGACCATAGTAGCGAGAGCTGCTAACTTCTGACATAAACGCCGGCTAACTGAATGTTGACGATACGGTTGTAACTTCAAATATACTCGCTGATCCACGCAAAACTCCAAATCCCTGCGATGTTTGTCAGCATTATTCTTCATAACATCTTGAACTCGAGTCAAATGATCTTTCACTTCTGACAATATCGCATCACGCTCTTGCAGAAGTCTGGCTAATTCAAAGTTCTGAGTGCAGCCTTCCTCGAAATGCAGCAAGGGAGGAGGATCTCTGCCATACACAATCTTGAAAGGTGTTGTCTGTGTCGCTGTATGATACGACGTGTTATACCATAATTCAGTCCATGGTATAAATTTGGACCAAGTCTTCGGGTGAGTTGAAGCAAAACACCTCAAGTATGTTTTGAGGCAACGGTTGAGAACCTCTGTTTGGCCATCTGATTGTGGGTGAAACGTTGTACTAAACCGCAACTTAGTGTTACGTGTGAGGGTCAAGGGGTCAACATAAATATTCTTGGGCCTAAAGGGGACAATGATGTTTGCACTTGCTTTACTGTAGTGGGCTATGGGCTGTGGCTGAGTCAATAAGAGTGGGAAGAGGATCTAGAAGTCTCTAGAGGGATGAGCAAGTGTCCTGGACTTGTTGGCTGCACACACATGGATTGTTAGCGGAAAGTCACTGTTATTGTTAAATAGGGAGTAGAATCTTAGAGAGAGGGTATCACGGAGTTGATCAAAGTGTATGGGAGAGGAAGAGAGACCTCTCGAACCCTTCTCTCTAATCGTGTATTTACGTTTATCAGTCTATAATAAAGAGTTTTGTTATCAGATCGACTATTTGTCTACCTTTCCAATATGTTTCACGTATCAAATGGTATCAGAGCAAGACGAATCTGAGATCATGACGCCGAGAGTGCAGAAACCTGATGAGAAAACTATCAGGGAGAGAGTCTTCGAGGAGATGCAAAAGCTACACGAGGCCTGCGCTAAGGTGGATCAGATGGTGGAGTGGGTCATAGAGATAGAGAGTCAACTTCGCATACTCCCCATCCTTAAGCAGCGAGTGAAAGGGATGGAAGAGATCTATCGGGGAGAGAAGAAAGAGACGATGGTATCAGAGACGTTGGTGCTCGGATCTGACTCAGATCAGATCGCGACTTCAATCGCGACTTCAATCGAAGGATCTCAGGAGAGCCTTCTCTTGAATCCAATGCCATATGTGGAACAAACTCATCAAATGGTCCTGCAGAAAAAGGACGAATCATCGCGGAGGATCGAGCCTATGTGCGAAGCAGGAAACACTACCAGCTGGGTCCTTAAAGGAAAGCAGTACTTTGAGGGGGGTAAAGTCACGAATGAAGAAGTGACGGGATTGGTGACAGGGATAAAGGAAAGGGACGAAGAGGAGGTAGAAAAACAGTCAGAGGCTGATATGTATAAGCGTGCCTACCATGTGTTCGACGAAATGAATCTGAGAGGAAAGAGGTTAATAAGGAAGCGAAAGAAGAAGAGATGGAAAGAGGTTGCAAAGAAGAACTATAAACCTTATGTAACGTCAGCGAGAAGCTGGATGATTGAAGGATTTAGGCTGGAAAAAATGACACGAATGTTGAATGACCAGAAGTTGCATTGTGATACCGACGGAAAGAATGTCAAGCACAAACAGATGTTGTCAAAGCTGTTATTGAAACACGCATCAGTTAAGAAAAAGCTGGCCAGGTGGAAGAAACATAAATTTAAACGGAAGCAGAAGATCAATGAAAGTTGTGCTGGTAAGCAGATTGCTTCTTGCTGGAATGTAGGCAGAAAGAGAAAGAAAAAGAAAAGGACCACGACATATAATACAATTATGGAAAGGTGAAGTCTACAACTACTAGTCAAATCCAGAAGGTGAGCATGTGCAGAAAGCAAATCAACAAGAGGCCAATGAAGCAATGGAAGTCATTAAACGATCATGTTGTTTATAACCGCCGAGCCTTGGAGAAAAAGGTCAGGTTGGAGTTTACAAAGAGTAAGAAGAGTAGAACAAGGTTGAGGGAGTATGATAGAAAGGGAATCAACCAGGATCTGGTGTTTGCACAGCTACAGTGGGCACATAGGACAGCTTGGAAGAAGCTTGCAAAAGGGAAGAAGCATAAGTTTAAGCAGAAGCACAACAAGCAGAAGGAAATAGTCAAGGCAAAATTATCAAGGTGCCTAATTGTAAACTCTTGGAGTCATAAGCTTGCACCTGAACATCCTAGAAGGACCTTCGACGGTGGGGGTAAGGGAAAGTATGGCTGTGAGAGTGTCTGCGCAAGGGGTCATGAGTGGTTGCAGCTGAACGGTGTAGTGATGCAGAACATGAAGTTGCTAGTTGCAGAGACCAGCGAGAAAACAAAGTCGAAGGAAGAGCATGGGGATTCAGGAAAGCTCCTCTCGCTAGTTACAACAATAGGGATGCAAGCTCTGGGAAAATGGAAGAAACATAAGGTCAAATTCAAGTACGGATACAAGCACAGGATGGGCAATGAGTTTTTATACTTTTATGCAAGCTATTTTACTGCTTTAGTTGCTACAATTTATATGAAGAAAAAGAGCTGGTTTAAAGGGCAGAAGAATACCGAAGAGTGGATGAATGGTGACTGCTCTTGGCTATACAGAATGTGGCCGCTAAGATTCACTCAGCAGAAGAAGAAGCAAAAGGAGACTCACAGCCCATCCAATGCTATTTTGGAAAATAGTGAAAGCTTGCAAGGCTGCCATGTTGTTTACGCAAGTGCTTTTACCGCCACTGGAGACGCAGGGCTCTTCACCAGAGAAACAGTGAAGCTTCATGGGTTCCCTAAGACAACCATTTCGGATAGGATGGTTACATCCGAAGACTTAAGATTGAGCTGGGAAATAAGGTCAGATTCCTATGTTAAGCAACTCGGAGTACATGGCGGAGGTTTGGAGACACAAAAGAGAACCGAAGAGCTGTTTCAGGGAGCAGAAATGATGATGGTAGAAGGGCTACCATGTCCAGAAGCTACACTGCAGAAATTCTGGATTCTGAAACAAGTGCAAGTGAAGTTCTGGGTGAAGATCCACCAGAAACCATCGCGGGAAAACGGTCACGTGATCCATGCCGACTCAGCAAGCAAAATCTAAATGGAGGACAATTGCAGCAAAGTGAGAAGCAACATTTCGAGAATAAGCATCGAAGAGGAAGGAGCGGGCAATCTTTGCGGAGAGACATCATCAACGTCAAGCATACTTTGCATCCTTTCTCGAAGATATGGTTACTACTCTCGCAGCAACGGTTTACTCTCCTTGACCTTGGTCAATTTGAAAGGGGGGAGTATTGTTACGTGTGAGGGTCAAGGGGTCAACATAAATATTCTTGGGCCTAAAAGGGACAATGATGGATGCACTTGCTTTACCGTAGTGGGCTATGGGCTGTGGCTGAGTCAATAAGAGTGGGAAGAGGATCTAGAAGTCTCTAGAGGGATGAGCACGTGTCCTGGCCTTGTTGGCTGCACACATATGGATTGTTAGCGGAGAGTCATCGTTATTGTTAAATAGGGAGTAGAGTCTTAGAAAGAGGGTATCACAGAGTTGATCAAAGTGTGTGGGAGAGGAAGAGAGACCTCTCGAACCCTTCTCTCTAATCGTGTATTTACGTTTATCAGTCTATAATAAAGAGTTTTGTTATCAGATCGTCTCTTTGTCTACCTTTCCGATACGTTTCACGTATCACTTAGTTCCAGATAAGCAAAAACACTCACGCCAAAAGTTGCTTAAGAAAATCTTATCACGGTCAGAAATGATGGACTTATGATAGCCATGTAAGCGGACCACTTCTTTCACAAATTTATTTGCTACTTCAACCGCTGTAAACGGATGTTTGAGAGTGATGAAATGTCCGTATTTGCTGAGACGATCCACCACCACCAAAATCACGTTGACACCTTGTGACACAGGTAGTCCCTCAACAAAATCCATCAATAAGTCTTCCCATATCTGCACCGGAAGAGGAATGGGTTGTAATAAACCTGCTGGGGATAACGTTGAGTACTTGTGCGTTTGGCAAATTGTACACTCAGATACATACTGTTGAATTCTCTTCCTCATTTTCTTCCAGTGAAAAGTGGATTGAATTCGCTGCAACGTTTTAAGAACCCCTGAGTGACCTCCCAGTAAACTGTCGTGATTCTCTTGCAGTATCAATAAAATGTGTTTTGAATCATGAAGAATCACCAACCTGCGCTTATAGAAAAGCTTTCCATTCGCCAACGAGTAACCCCGCTTAACTTCTTCTCCTTCTGCGAGTTTCTGCTGTATTTCCTGTATTTCAGAATTTTCCTTAATTTCTTTAAACAGGTCCTGAAGCTGCAGAGTAGTAGGAATCGTCTTAGCTAACAGCGAAGAGGAAGTCACTGATGCTTGAGGAGGTAAAATTCGTGAAAGACCATCTGCAACTTTGTTCTCACTTCCCACCTTATATTAAATATCAAACTCATAGCCTAATATGCGAGTTAGCCAACGTTGATAGTCCAGACTCACCTCACGTTGTTCCAACAGGTACTTGAGACTTTGTTGATCAGTCCTTACTACAAATCTCCTGCCCAACAAATAATGCCGCCACTTTTGAATTGACATTACAATAGCCATCAATTCGCATTCATATATTAGTTTCTGTTGTTCTCTTTCCGATAACCCGTAACTGAAATACGCTATTGGATGTTTGTCTTGCATCAACACGGCACCAAGTCCATACCCCGAAGCATCAGATTCCACTATGAATAACTTTTTGAAATCAGACAGAGCTAACACAGGAGCTGAAATCATGGCATCTTTCAATTGATCAAACGCCATCTGTGTCTGTGATGTCCACTCAAAATGTTCCTTCTTCAACAGCTCTGTGAGAGGTTTTGCCAAAAGCCCATAGTGATGGACGAATCTCCTGTAATAACCTGTGAGGCCCAAGAATCCTCTCAATTCTTTCACTGTCTTCGGGGAAGGCCAATTCTTCACTGCCTCTATCTTATGCCCATACGAGATACTCCTTCTTGAGAAATCAAGTGATCAAATACTCTACTTGGTTTTGAGCAAAAGAGCACTTTTTCAAATTTGCAAACAACCTTTGCTCTTCAAATACTGATAGAACCAACTTCAGGTGTCTCACGTGATCCTCTATAGACGGGCTGTAGACGAGAATATTATCAAAAAACACCAGCACAAACTTTCGGAGAAATGGCTTAAAAACTTGATTCATCAAAGCCTGGAATGTTGCTGGAGCATTCGTTAACCCAAAGGGCATAACCAGAAATTCGTAACGACTTTCATGTGTCCTGAATGCTGTCTTCTCAATATGTTTTTCCTTCATTCGAATCTGATGATAACCTGAGCGGAGCTCCAACTTGGAAAATATTTTTGCTCCATACAACTCATCCAGCAGCTGGTCTATTAGTGGGATTGGGTATTTGTCGGGCACCCTCGCTCTGTTCAACGCTCTGTAATCAACACAGAACCTCCACGAGTTGTCCTTCTTTTTAACCAACAAGACATGACTCGAATATGGACTGTGGCTTGGGCGTATTAGTCCCTCTGTTAGCATCTCGAGAACCAACTTCTCTATAGCTTCCTTATGAGCATGCAGATACCGATAAGGTCTCACGCTAATTGGTCCCATTCCTTGTTGTAACACGATACCATGCTCACTGTCTCGAATAGGAGGTAATCCTTTGGGTTTCTTAAAGACATCTTCATACTCAACTAAAGTCTGAGTAATGGCTGGATGCAAGAGTTGATTCTCATTCGACGTAGCTTCTGTATTGCTAAAAAAAATCCGTTGTTGTTTCTCCACCATGTTATAGTTCAGCGTTTTCAGAGACATTGCTGTTTCATGAAGAGATGGGTCGCCCCTTAATGTCACAAACTTGCCCTGAGGCATGAATGATAACTCATGATTTTCCCAGTCAACTTGGTATTTTCCAAGAGTTCGCAGCCAATAGACCTCCAAGATTACATCTGCATTTCCCAGTTCAAGCACGATGAAATCTGTAGTGATTTGAATGTCTTGTAAGGTGAGTTTTACATTTCTGCATACTCCAGAACCGTGAACCGAGACACACGTACCCAACAAAACTTGCATCTGAAACGATTTGTCAGGCTTCAACTTAACTCTTTTTGCCATATCCGGGGTGATGAAGTTATGTGTGACTCCACTGTCTAACATCATGACAATTGACTGCTTCTTCAAATAGCCTCTTACTTTTGTTGTTGTGGAAGAAGATAAACCCAAGAAAGAGTTAAGAGACAGAGTCCATAACTCTGGTGCCCACACAATCTCTTTTCCTCATCCATGAATTCTTCTTAGTTAACAATTTCTACCTCTATTCCATTCAGCATTGTAAGCACTTGACAAGAAGCATTTTCACACTTATGCTGTCTTGTAAACTTTTTCGGACAATAAAAGCATAGCCCCAAGCGTTTCTTCTCTGCTACCTGCTCTGGTGTTAGCTGTATTTGAGGTCTAGGGAACCCCATTCGAGGAGGAGGAGCTGTATTCTGATCAGCAGAAGGGAGATTGTTTCTCGTCTTCTAGCGTTAGTAGCCGGGTAGCTCGAGTAAGACTTAGTCACAGAGGTATTACTTCCTGGAACTGGCTTAGAGAGTTGTTGTCTTTCTTTGCAAATCACTTTATACAACGTGCTTGATTCCATCTGATACGCCAAATATATCATCTCCTCTAAGCTGACTGGTTTACACATATTCACGACCTCTTGCATCTCCGGTTTGAGTCCATTCATGAAGACACTTTCGCGTTGAGTATCAGTCAAGCTGTAGGCTTGTGTAGACAGGTCCTCAAACAAGTGAATCTACTCAGCAACTGATCCGTTTGAGTCACTCTGAAGAAAGGTTGGCTAGGATCGCAGAGTTTTTCTTTGCTGAATCTAGCAATTAACCGCTCTCTGAATTCTTTCCAGCAACCAAAAGGACGTTGATGCATCTCACTGTTGAACCAGCTCAACACATCTCCTGCTAAACTGACTGACACCAGATCGAGTTTCTCTAAATCATCATAACCTCTGATCTGAAAAAAACGTTCTAGCCAACACTATCCAACCGTACGTATCTTCCCCTGAGAACATCGTTAACATAACCTTCCTCAACAAACCCTCTCTGCTATTTTTGAGAGAACTCCGAGCCCTAATCTCGTCCGATCTAAGACTTCGGCATGGTTCCTGGTCAAGAGGACGTATCTGTTCCGTTTGTGATATCGGAATAGATTTGCCGTGCACATTTGATGTTTCCTGATGCGTCGTCGAATCGCGTTGCAACGCCGACATGATCGCTGATTGTAACAACTTCGCAAACGATTCCAGTGAAACTTGTGGAACCGCTTCTTTGCTCTGGTTTCTCTTCGTCATTTCGCGATTGTTCGATCCAGATAGCTCACCATGCACCAATTTGATAAAGAACCAACCACTTTATTGATATGAACAAGTGATTACACGCCCAAACGTATGAGCTTGAAAGCAAACCCTATCTCAATCTCTGAACAATTCTCAGAGTCGAGCCTTTCTCTCTCTATCTTTCTGAATGAATCCGTAAAACAGAGCATGGTTTAGTTTTTATATTACAAATTCGCTGTACTAAACAAACCGAAATAAAACCAACATTTAAAACCGGTTAAGCACTTGAATTGGTCGGGTCATTCCTTTTCTGCTTCTTCTTCTTAAAAACTGATTCCTACGAGAAAAATATAATTACTACTGATTTTTCTAATAAAGGTATGTTTTTTCATTTACCAAGGTCTGAGGAGCGAGCCCAAATATAAAGGATCTTCATGCTTCTGTAAAGCTTTGTGAACCTCAATGCAGAAAGCTGGGATCAAATCACGAGGTGTGCTTCCTATTCTCAAATCCTTGCTACTTATACTACTAGTAGAGAGTTCTCTCTTCTTTTCTAGGTTTATAATAAACGAGTGCTGCTGGTTTGATTCTTACTTTACTTTACCTGTCAAAAGTTTCACTTGGTTCGAATATATAAGTATAGTTTGCATTGCCATTTATTAGTTTGGGTTAATAATGAAGATTCTTTCATTATGCGAGTTCGTTGCTATTTGCAATTTTGCAATAGATAATCGAATCAAGCCATGGTTACCTTCCTCCATCTCTGTTTCCTACTCTCTGTAATAACTTCTCATCCTCTTTGCTCAGATTCAAGCTTAATGTTCTGCTCTCATGTCGTTTTGAGTTAAAGTGTCCTTGTGTTCATGTCGTTTTGAGTTAAAGAATCCTTGTTTACAGTATACGTGCTTTTTTTTTTTTTTTTCTCTTGGCTGTGGGGAAGCTTCTACAGCCTTCCCCCAACCAATCCCGAAATATGGAAATTCCCCAACGGCTAGATTAATTGGAGAAAATGGAAATTAAGAGCCCCGCTCTAATTTCTTCTATATACACACACACAACCTTCAACCTCCGTTGTTGTTCACTATTCATTATTACCCTCGCTTAGTATCCATTAATTCTCTTTGCTCTGAGCTTGGATCCTGAAACCCTAGAAGCATTTTTTTCTTTGGCGTGAACAATGGATTCTTCGCTTTTGACAAAGACAAAAAATAAATTGTCTGTGAGAAATCAAACCCGTTTCAAGAAGTCATCTTTCTCTTCAACAAAGATGACGAACTTGGCTATGAGATAAGCGACCGTGCTCAGAAAAGCCAACGAGCTCTCGACTCTATGCGACGTCCAACTCTGCGTCCTCTATTACGGCAGTGACGGCGAAGTCATCAAGACATGGCCCGAGGATCAATCCAAGGTCAGAGACATGGCCGAGAGGTTTAGCAAACTAAGCCACAACGAAAAACACAATAAAAGCACCAACCTCTCTCAGTTTCTTAACAAGAAGCTCAACGACGAGAGGAAAAGGTCTCTGGAGAACAACGACAATAAATTCTCAGAGAAAGTCTTAGAGTTGGAGCATTCCTTGGAGAGTCGTTTACGGATATTCAAAGACAAGCGTCGGTTTCTTCAGACCGAGACCGACCAGAACCAGAGCCTTGCGGTTTCATCCGACTGTGTTGCATCAAGGTCGACCGAACAAAATCAGATGATTTCTTCAGGCCGAGACAAGCGTCGGTTTCTTCAGACCGAGACCGACCAGAACCAGAGCCTTGCGGTTTCATCCGACTGTGTTGCATCAAGGTCGACCGAACAAAATCAGATGATTTCTTCAGGCTCGGATTTATCTCTTTCACTGATCAATGATCCTTGATGATTGACGATCAGAGCCTTGCGGCTTCGTCCGGCTTCACAACACATTTATCTCCGTCGCTAAATCAACAATGGACAGAGTCGTCAACGAACCATCTCAGTGGTGGCTTCGCAACTGGTTCGTTGGATAACCATCAGAGCAAGTTCTCAATCTTTCTCTATAACCATGACAACGGCAGCTTCTTTCAACTCGATGACTCTGTTTACCAAGCGATGGCTACTTATGATAATCCGAGTATGGGACAAGGGTTTGGTCTAAGAAGCTGCAGCAACAACATGGCTATGATGCAGAGACAAAACCCACTTCTCCACTACGATATGCTCCTTTGACTGGGTCAGCATTTTATTCTTTTTGTATTTTGGCTATTTGTTCTTCTCGAGTCTGTAAAATTGTAATTTGTCTTTTCTTTTCCCTAAGCATGAATATTGAAATCTCCAAGTTTCCAAAACTTTAATATGGTTTAAATGATGAAAGATATCATATTTTAGAATGAATGAATATGATATTCACTACAATTCTTTGTCTTTAATCTGTAATGGTTTTCCTTCTTTCTCAATCAAATGTAGAATCTGAGGACGATATCTCTCGTTCTGAAAGAAAACCGAAGCTAACCACTAACTTTTCTTCTTGTTTTTTTTTTTTTTTTGTTTTTCACTGTCATTGACTACATTGCGATGTGTCATGAGAATCATCATTGTTACGTGCTCTAAGGATTCTCCAAGTTCCTTGTTTCAGTGTGGAAGATTGAAGTTTTGTTCGTTTATCTTCGAATAACATGTGTCCTCTCTTTTTTTATACGAAAAACCATAAATAATTTTCCAATTCCAGATATTATTTCTTTCTTAAACAAATGATTCCAGATAGTATCTATGGTAATGAATTTAATTCTCATTCTCACATAGTTTACAAAGACAAATCATCTTACTTGACTCGTAGCAAACCATTTTACCCTGATCCGAAAATCCGATCCGGATCCGATCCAAAAATATCCGATCCGAACCGATCCGGATTCCACACAATATCCGATCCGAAGCATTCTTCTTTGTACTTCAGGTACCGGATAATACCCGATCCGATCCGAAATACCCGAGTATTTGATCCAAATCCTCGTACCTTATTTTCCAACGATAACACATCACCCAATCCTGATTTTGAAGCCAAAAACATAGAAAATATCTATTCATTCAATCATGATGAGTATCCATTTTCCATATCCCAAAATTTGGAATCCTTTAATTTTTTCTATGCAGCCTATGTTCCTTCCGAGACATCAAAAAATCAATTTCGGTCTCAGATATGAAATTTCTCACACTCCATCAGAGTATATCGATTTCTTCTTATGTATATGTTTGATGCTTTTAGTTTTAATTTTTTCCTTTGTGTCGATTTACTGTTTTTCTTAACTCTAAAATTTATTGTTTCTCTTAATTAACAATTCAAGTTTGTCTCTTTAATCTCTGTTTTTGCAACAAAGATTTAATAATAGTATGATGAAAAAGAAGCATGAATTATTCAGAAAACAGAGCAGTTGTTCAACTATTGTTTGTATGTGTTTGTTTGTATTTACTTATTACAGGATCGATACAAGTGTGAGTATCCATACAAATTCATTTTGAGAATAGATAAAAGTTTGTATTTACTAATTCCAAATAATAATTGTTCAGAAAATTGATTGAAGTTGTTATTATTTGTATTGTTAAATTAAAAATTATACATAAGTGTAAGAGCTTTTTGTAATCCTTTTTGAGTTTCCGCAGTTTGTAGAAATATCAAGTGAAGAAGAAGATATCAAGAAGTTATTTACGTTTAGTTTTATTTTTCCACTTTCTTTCTTTCTTTTGATGTTTAGTTTCGTTTGCAGTGTTTTCAAAATTCAGCTATTTCATTATTACTTTGAAGTATTTCGGTTACTTTTGGATAAAAATACTTGAATCCAAACTGGATCTGAAAAAATTAGATCCAAAATATAATATCCGAACCGATCCGAATCCGGAGAGATCCGAACCGAATCCGATCCGAATTTTAAAAATACCCGATCGGTACTAAAAATTATAGTTCCGAAATACCCGAAATCCGAAATATCCGATCCGATCCGATAACCCGAACGCCCACCTATATGAACCATGTGGATGATGTGAACCATGTGGATGATGTGAAGCTTATGGAAGCGTTTATGACTTTATAAATACAGTACTATCTTGTCTTGCAGTACATATATCGATTGGTCAGGTTATTAGATATTTGTTTTTTATTTTATGTTTTGTTTGAAGTTGTTCAAACTCTTTCTGGAAATTGTACCTACCAATGCTCATCTTTTGAGTAATAGTTCTTGTAAGCTTGCTCTTTAAACTTTACATTCTAAACTATTTCTTTTTATGAGAAACCATTTTGTCTTGATAGGTTATCAAATCATAATTTTTTATTTGAAGCTATTAAATATAAATGACATGCACAATACCTTAAATTCTTTGTTGATTGGATCATATCCCAAGTAGGTTCTCACACGAACACTTCTTGCTCTCACTTGGGGAAATTTTCTGGACTCTCCTATGCTAGGGTTACATAGGATCATCGCCTTTGAATAATCAGATCCACGTTTGAGCCCTATATCTTTAGTACAAAGCAAGCCACGGACAGGGCGATGGATCTGATGAGAGGAACCCAATCTAGTGGGGATGCGCATGTGATTATTATCGACAATAATCACATCATGAGACGAGTTCTGGTCTGGATTTCGAGGTTGAGGTGCCGAGAAGAAAACCCATTTACCGTCAACATGGAAGGTGAACAAGGACTCGGACGGTCCGAAGAAAACGTCAAGAACAGATCGGCGAAATATGGACCGCTGAGAATTGAAGTTGCTTCGACACGCAACGAAACCTAGATACAGATTGTGCCGGTAATCTCCAAAAATATTTCGATCAAAAATATCAATTGGGATCGGCTTTGAGTTCTCAACTGATGTCGAAGAAGATCGAGTTTGGGGATTCTCCTGCTCGGAGACGTTCTTCTGCCGTTTGTTCGTGGACATGTTAATTAAAACCCTATAGACAAAGTTTTATTTGTTATAAATGCTGTTTGTTCTGCCGTTTTTTCATAGTGGAAACCTACGTGTACCCACCAATAAGAAGAAGAAATGTATAGGTCCTGATTGGCCATCTCTAATTATCAGAAATGGTGGTCTTCTGTTACAGATTGAGATTAGTACCAAATTAGAGGATCGTTTCCAAATCAAATCAAATAAAAATATTAATCACGTTAACGAGCGGAATAGCTGAGAAGGCGTTACAAAAGGCTCGAAGCTCAAGATTCATGACACGGAAATAATAAACATGTGCCATACTAAAATGCATTGTTTCTAGGTTTTTTAAAAAATCTCGTAGTTTGGAAAATCATAAAACTGAGTCGCCTAAACATAGATTGCAAAGGAGCAAGGCTTTCTTTCTAGTCAAACAAGCCAAATACCATATCACCCTTACTCTCTTCCTTGACCTCCTCCTAAAGATTATACATCTAGACCACAGATTAGTGTTTGTAATAAAGCTTAATGGTTACAATTATATATCATCAAACTATGCAAAAACGTTGAAGGAGAGAACAATACAAGACCTTCTTCTTCTGCTCAGCTGCTGGTGCTGCTTGAGTGGCTCCTCCAGCTGCAGGGGCAGAGGAAGATACGGCCATGGTAGCAGCAGAAGAGCCACCAGAACCAGCATTCATGACAAGATCATCAATGTTCTGTTCTGGCAAAGCCTAGCAAAAAGACTAGGCCAGCATGATTCAATGTTCAAGTTGGCTGTTCTCACCAGTGTTGAGATCTTCTCAGATAGCTTAAATGTCAAGTATACATATCGAACTAATGCATAAGAGGTTTAACAAGTTACAAAATGATTTAAGCAAGTACAAAACAGTTTCTACAACAACAAAATTGAAGCGAGAAATCTTATGATGGTGGTATCACAGAAGCTACTGGTTCAGACTAAAGCTACTCCTCACAAAATTAGGGTTATATACTGAAAGAAGATTGACAAAAACAAGCTTGAGTTCCAAATCTAAGGTCAAATTTAGCCTAAATCAACGATCTTTGTCTTATCTCAATTGAAGACTCGCGTTAAATAAATTAAAATTGACATAGAACATGAAATTAAGAAATTGAACGGTTGCTACAAACGGCGAATAAACAGGTAGAAACACATTAATTACAATTAGAGAAGATAACGTAACCGAGAAGGTAAGAAGAGGAAGCTAAAAGGACTTATGCTGACGTCGATTCCATCATCGTGGAGGAGGTACATGCACATTAATTACAATGGGTTCCGTGTGGGAAAATCAGAATTCTTCAGGCTCGGATTTATCTCCTTCACTGATCAATGATCCTTTGATGATTGACGATCAGAGCCTTGTGGCTTCATCCGGCTTCACAACACATTTGTTGGATTAAGCTTGAAATAGCTTAAGCTCCAAGTTACACATATTTAGGAGAAATCTAAATATGTGAAGTTTCCTTTCTTTCGGAGTCATCTAAAGTTAGTTCTCCTGTTTGGTTTTTGGAATTACGTTACTTATATAAGGAGGTGCTGAGATGTAGCACAACTTGTGAGATCGGAGAACTTTAGTTTTGTGCAAGTTTCTAAAGTTAATAAAAGAGAGATATTCTTTTATAAGTGTGTGTTCTTCATTGTCTTTCAAGGTCTTTAACATTTATCTCCATCGCTAAATCAACAATGGACAGAGCCGTCAACGAACCATCTCAGTAGTGGCTTCGAAACTGGTTCGTTGGATAACCATCAGAGCAAGTTCTCAATCTTTCTCTATAGACATGACAACGGCAGCTTCTCTCAACTCGATGACTCTGTTTACCAAGCGACGACTACTTATAATAATCCGAGTATGGCACAAGGGTTTGGTCTAAGAAGCTGCAGCAACAACATGGCTATGATGCAGACACAAAGCCCACTTCGCCACTACGATATGCTCTTTTGACTGAGTCAACATTTTATTCTTTTTGTATTTTGGCTATTTATTTTTCTCGAGCCTGCAAAATTGTAATTTGTCTTTTCTTTTCTCTAAGCATGAAATCTCCAAGTTTCTAAAACTTTAATATGGTTTAAATGATAAAAGATATCGTATTTCAGAATGAATGAATATATTGTTTACTACTTCTTTGTTTATAATCTGTAATGGCTTGCCTTCTTTCTCAATCTAATGTAGAATCTAAGGATGATATCTCTCGTTCTGGAAGAAAATCGAAGCTAACCACTAACTTTTCTTCTTTTTCACTGTCATTGACTACATCGCGATGGGCTGCTGGATCATGAGAATCATCATTGTTAAGTGCTCGAAGGGTTCTCCAAGTTCTTTGTTTCAGTGTGGAAGATGGAAGTTTTGTTCGTTTATCTTCGAATAGCATGTGTCCTTTCTTTTTACACGAAAACCATAAATAATTTTTCAATTGCAGGTATTAATTCTTTCTTAAACAAATGATTCCAGATAGTATCTATGGTAATGAATTTAATTCTCATTCTCACATCTTTTACAAAGACAAATCATCTTACTGTGTTCTCTCGCACTACTATCACTTAGCAAACCTCATAAACTCAATTAGACTTTTTAAATTTTAGAAATCTCGCCGGTTCCTTAATCTACACGTTTGTACTTTGTGAATATTGTAAGAAGACAAACTAGGTTTTTCATTTCAGAAAGCATCGTCGTGAGATGGTTAAACCCATTGACAAAACCCCACACCGACTTTGCCTCTACTCTTCAACGAGTTCAACTTTTTTTTTTTAGATAAAAATGTTTGATTATGTAGTAGAACTAATTAATTAAAGTAGTAGAACAATTCACGAAAACACAATCTAAAGAAGCTTCTTGCTAATGAAAGAAAATAGAAGTTTTCAATAACTAAAACAATAGCTTACAACAAACGATGATTCTTATGGATACAGTTTCCTTGAAGAAATGAAGTTTTTGAAAATAAATATTTCATACAATGAACAATGATTACGCTGCAAGAAATGAGATAGACGCAAAGCTTAGGACAGTTATAAAGTCCTATCAAATCCTAGCCACGTCCATAAGCTTCACATCTTCTACATGTTCTATAAATGTGTAGATATTATGTTTCATATGAAAAGCCACATCTCCTAACTCGACTTTAACTCTTACGACAGTGTTCCTCACCACATTATAGAAGAAAATGTAGGAACCGGGTTTATTGTGTGGGGCGAACAAAATTTCACCTGTACCAGTCATCCCAACAACGTACAGCGAGCTGGTATCCCGACCAACTGTAGACTCCCACAAAGGCGGCAATACATATATATACTTCGACCACTTCTCATTCTCGACATCTTCCAGAACCCACAGCTCGAGACTTTTAGTTGTTCGAGCGATGAAATTATCAGAACTACGCCTAATTTACCATTGAAATTTATCAGATATGAGTAGCTAAACGAATTGTTGTCCACCGGTATGAACGTGAACTTCTCAGACCTAACATTAAAGTAAACTAGGCCTTCACCACGGTTCCACATAGCTATATAGTACAAAACCCCATTGATGCATATCCCACCATGTAAAGGGGAATGGAGTCTCGAACATTCGATCGTTCTCCATGAAAGTTCTCCGGTTGTTAATGTCAAAACTCGAATCGTAGAATAGTACATATGCAATACCTTGAGTAGTTTGTCGATAGGGTCATAACCCAAATGGTTTTCCACCTTCATTATTCTTGATGGCGGTGACACTTTGGGTAAAGTTATGTACTGTCCTGTGCTAGGGTTACGAATGATTGGATTCTCACCTCTACAGACTGGACTAGATAGCCATCCGCAGACAGGAAGACAAGAGAGCCCCAAATAAGAATCTTTGCTGGGGAAACTCATGAGACGCTCAGCAACTAATGGAGATGTGTTCTTGTCAGGATTTAGGGGCTGAGGCATCGAGAAGAAGAGCAACGTATCGTTGAGTTCGACGGCGATCAAGAGACGGGGACGAGCCGAAGACATTTTCATGAACAAATCGGTGAAATCTCGACGGCGGAGAAGGGAAGCCCATTGCTTTGAAACGCATCGAAACCTTGCTATGGATTTCACAGGCAATCTCGAGAAGATTGAGATTAAGAGATCTACTGGTAACGCCTTTGCGGAGCTTGTCGGGCGATCCTTCTCGGAGTGTTCTTGCTTCTGTCGGTTTACCATGGCGGCAGCAGACCATAGAACTAGGAGACAAGAAGCCGCCATAGTTTTTTCTAGTTTTTTTCTTCAACAGAAAGAAAATTAGGAGAAAATAAGACAAAAGAAAACTATTATGCAAAAGAGATAGGGCATAATCTCGCTTTAAGATAATGTTATGTACACGTGTACAACTCTCATACACAAGATCCACCGGTTATAAAAAAACTGGCCATAGAATTTTTTACCTTTCTATCAAAGTGGATTCTTCTTATAGATGACGAAAACACTTCGTATGTTTAAATACATATATATTCTACGACGTATAATAGATTGGGATACATAATGTTAACATGAATTAGTCCTTCCTTCCAGACCTAAGTAAGCAGGTTCACTTCCCATTCCGGAATTAAAATTGATTTTTTCATATTAAAAACAAAAAATATTCTATTGAATTCTTTTTCTGTTTAGGGTCAAAGGTGTTAAAAACCTATTTTAGAATTTTTATCTTCAGATTAAAATTTTGGATATCATATCCACCATTACTAAAATCGCCCACTAAATCTCCGACTCGTATTACTCCGATAAAATCTCCGTACAGATTATCTCATATAATCTCTATTCATCATCAAAAAAGGGAGAGAACCAATGATTCTTAAAAATCTCATCAATGGTGATCTTTTTCTCGAGATTCATATTAAGGAGATGAATAGTTTCTGATTTGATTTAAGATTCCAGGATTGTTCTTCTCTACCACCACAAAGTTTACTATAGACGATAGATCTGATATAGAAGACTCCAATCTGGCCGGAAAAAGCTTAATTGGCGAGATCTGCGGTGATTAGGTGATTAGGTTTCGAGTTGGGAGAAAATTGTTGATTTGAAGTATGATTTGATTCTGGAAGACTTCTAGGAAGCTTTCCTATATATTCAGAAAGCCTTTCCCAAATATGTTATTTTTCTCTACCACCACAAAGTTTACTATAGATGACATATCTGGCATATAAAACTATAATTTGGCCAGAAAAAACTGAATCTGGTGATTGGGTGATTATGTTTTCGAGCTGTGAGAAAATTGTAGATTTTCTATATATTCAGGAAGCATTTCCCAAATATGTTGTATTAAATTGTTTTGATTTATACCTCTTCATTTTGCTTATCTTGATTAAGTAGATAGTGGTTTTGCATATAATACACCTCTAAAAATGTTTTTTACTCAATTCATGAAGCCCTTCCACAATTCAGAAATTTTTAAAAATTTTAGGAAAACTTTCATAAATCATATGAAAGGATGTTGGATTTTAGTGTTTCGAAGACTTCCCAAATAAATTACGAAATATTAACAGAAAAATATTTAAAGAGACTTTCTTAAAGAAAAAATTCAAAAAAATCAAATAAAAAATATTAGAAAGTATAAAAAAATTTAGTTTCTCTGTTATATGTGTCCTGAAAACTTATTTTCATAATAAATATAAAAATTGCTCTATTTTTATTATATAAATAATCTCGGTCTGACCAACTTTGTTTCAGTCAAGATTTTCAAATCTTTAATAACTTGGTTTAGGTATTGTCATGACTAGATACTAAGATGTATATAATAAATATCCATCCTTAGATTTTCGTTTTTGACTTGTTTGCTTCCTCCAAAGTGAAAACCCTATCCATACATGTTGTTTTTCAGCCTAACGAAGATAGTTTAAGCAGACGAAAGAAATTGAATTCGTGGAGCCAAACCCTATCCACAATGGGTTTAGCCATCTCCAGACGTCGGGAACCATCCTCCTTGTTGGCGATTCCAGAGGATGTCACCTTTGACATTCTCTCGATATTGCTTACGAAATCCATAGCGATTTGTCGTTGCGTATCGAAGCAATGGGCTTCACTTCTCCGCCTTCCAGATTTCACCGAACGTTTCCTGACCAAGTCCTCGACTCGTCCTCGACTTTTGTTCACTTTCGAAGTTGATGGTAAGTGGCTCTTCTTCTCGTCACCTCAGTCTCTAAATCCAGACAACAAGTAGCGTCTTCTATCTGCTCAATATCACATGTGTCTCCCTGGAGATTGTTCCTTTGATGTTCATTCCGTTGTCCACGGATTGATCATATCTAATAAAGATAGGAATCCGA